GGTTGGGTCGCTGGTCTTCTCTCATATCACACAACGACTCACACAAATCACAGAATGCGCATTCTACCTACGAACTCACAATACTCCATAGCCGAAGTAACACACGTAGTTTAAATCAATATATTGATTTTGTACAACTCTTTCTCTAATCTTCTTCATCCTTCGCCTTACTTTTGATCGAGAGACAAACCTATCACTTGTCAAACACTGCTCATCTTTAAAATGGAGAGCTTAATTAAAGTCCTCCATTTTTCTCTACCTCTTAAAGCTGGTGTCTGCTCCTACATCCATTATTCTGTCGCTTCTTTCCGACTTTCGAACCTCGATTTATCCGACTGCGAATTTCAGTTTACGTGGCGGAAACTTCCGTCCCCTTCCTTCAATCACTATTACTATGTTACCAGATGTCGAACCTCTAGCTTCCAGCTTTTTCCCCAAGATTGCGAAATTGTGGAACACCCTTCGCATCTCCGTGCTTACATGCGCTTATGGTCTTAATCTTCTAACAGTTTTGTAAACAACGGCGTTGATTGCTGCTTTTGCAGTACCAGTAGCAGAATCAAATTATTCCATGATAATATAAACAACGTTATGCCAGGGACATCTCTCACTCACGAGGAAGAAAAATATGAGGCTCCCTTTCTTAGACGTCCACATCATAAGCCCACTAGACGGAAACAGGCACCACCTTGTACAGGAAACCGACAACAACCGACTAGATGCTGAAGTATGAGAGCAACCATCCCACAGGTAGCCTAAGAAAATCAAAGGATGAACAGAAGAAAACAAAACTGCTACTACCATACATACGCGGGGTATCAGAAGTCGTCGATCGCACACTTCATCCTCCGAATGTTGCCTTTGCCCACAAACCTAAAACAACATTGCGGTTAATTCTGTTCAACGGAAATACCATGAAGAACCACAAGGCCAATCAGAGGTGGTGCATGCAATTCCTTTAATTGACTATCACCTCAGCCAGCAGTTACGCAACTTCCGAGGTAGACAATGCTTTTGACTACTTCCGGTGTGTAATTACTCGTTGAAATTGCAGGAACAGCTTCCTGCCAGTTTTGAAACATATTTTGCACTTTGAAGGTGCAAAGGACATACGGTGAAGAGTAACCTCAATCACTAAACGATTCAGTGAGTCTTGAATCGTCGGTTCCTTGTCAACGAGTAAGGCAATATCATCGATATACTCTAAGTTTACGACTGTCTCCAGGAAGAAGCTCGACGCCAGCGTTCGTTACTTTAGGCAATGCGATTTTTATAACATCTATGGTCACGTTGAAGAGAACCGGAGAGTTAGGGCAACCCTGTCGTACTCGACTGGTGACAGGAAATGAGGGTGAAAGTTCACAACGACCCTAAATCTTCCTGAGGTCTGTCGGTACAGTGCTTTTAGAGGCAAAACACACTTCTCGGGTTCTCCATATCTCAGCAAACAGTTCCGCAGCGCAGGGTAATCAATGGAGTCGAAGGTAGCTCTAAAAACACTACAATAGTATGTCAATCTGTGTAGCGGTGTTCCAGCAGCTGACGAAGGGTGAAGATTGATCTGTGCAACCACGGCTTGAATGAAATCCAACTTG